TATAATATTAATATATAATATATAATATATTAATTATATTTAATATATATTTTAACATTTAATATTTAATATTTAATATTTAATATATAATTATTTAATTATTAATATTTAATAGTATAATATATATATATAAATATATAAATATATAATATATAATATATTATATATATTATATATAATAATATATATATATATATTATGATATATATTGCATATATATATAATATATTATATATATATATATATATATTATATGCATATATTAATATATATTATATATATATAATATAATATATATTATAGCAATATATATATATAACATATATATAGTATATATATATATATATATATATATATATGGCATTATATATATATATAAACATTATACAATATATATTATATTATACTATATATATATATATATAATATATGCATATATTATATATATATATATATTATATATAATATTATATATATATATTGCATATATATATATATGCATATAAATATATATATTGAAATATATATATATATATATATGCATATATATATTATGCAATATATATTATATATATATGCATATTATATATATATATATATATATATATATATATATATATATGTACTATATATATATATATAATTTTTTAAATAAAATTATATATATATATATATATTTATATATGCATATATATATATATATTGCATATATATTATATATATATATATATATAATATATATATTATATACTATATTATATATGTTATTTATAATATATTAATATATATATATATATATATTTTATATATGCATATATATATAATATAATATATATATTATATATATAACATATATGTACATTATATTGTACATATATGTACATATATGTACATATATCTACATAATATTGTACACACACACACAACACACACACACACACACACACACACACACACACACACACACACCACACACACACACACACACACACAACACACCACACACACACACACACACACCACACAGAGAGAAGAGAGAGAGAGAGGATAGAGAGAGAGAGAGAGAGCAGAGAGGAGAGAGAGAGAGGAGAGAGAGAGAGAGAAGAAGAGAGAGCCATGAGAGAGAGAGAGAGAGAAAACCTAAAAATTTATCTAGGTTTCTACATTTTTTTAAATTTATCTAGGTTTCTACATTTTTGGCTGCATGATTTATTTAGGTAATGCTATAAAGAGGCTACCTTTGAGAGGTTATTTCTCCTCAGGGATTGCAGCCAGTGATTGTTTAGCCTTGAAATGATAGGATGTCATCCATCTTTGTCTAGGTTAAGTAGTATTACCTGATAGAGCATTTCTCAACCGCAGGCCTCAGCCACTACAGAGGAAACTTTTGTGTCCACGTTGAGCACTGGGCACTACCATGTATTGGTACCTCAGTGGTTTTCTTGCAGCTGCCCTACCTATGAAACTCATTTCATCAGTCATGGCTGTTGTGATAAGGCTATATCAAATGGTCAGATGTGCCTGGCTGTAGCTAAAACTACCAGTAAGTCGTTGAATGTGCCATCCCTCAACTACAGGCACAGGCATCCCATAACTCAGTATGGAAAAACAGAAAACAAAAAAACAATAAAAAAAGGATCAAAGAACAAATAAGTAAGTATATTTAGTAAAGAGTCATTCACTCCTTTTACTGATTTCTAAAGATCCAGCCATTCTGCAGCATGAATAGGTAGGCTATTTTACGGTTTCACATCATTCCCCAACAAATTATAACACATTATCTTAAGCACAGGGAAGACAGAGATTGCAGTTTCTTAAGATATACAAAGCCAGTGCCAGGAAGATCACAGACACAGCATGCCAAGGAAAAGACCTGGGCATGTTTTGTTCCTTATGGTTTGTCGAGGCCCAAATCGGGCATGACAGAGAGAGAGAGAGAGAGAGAGAGAGAGAGAGAGAGAGAGAGAGAGAGAGAGAGAGAGAGAGAGAGAGAGAGAGAGAGAGAGAGAGAGAGAGAGAGAGAGAGAGAGAGAGAGAGAGAGAGAGAGAGAGAGAGAGAGAGAGAGAGAGAGAGAGAGAGAGAGAGAGAGAGAGAGAGAGAGAGAGAGAGATCTTAATTTCCAAAAGGGATAAAGTCAATTTCTAACAACTTCAGAATTTATTAGAAGCAAGTACTTGACAAAAATACCAAATACACGAGGGAAAAACCTTTGGTTAATGTAACCTGATTTAGTTACATGCTTTAATAAATTACATGTATTCACAAACTGTAACATCAAATGCCTGAACCTGGGGAAAACAGACATGGCAAATTAGATAACCCTTTTAATGAAATAAATATATTTTTTAACTTAAATAGTCTTTAAATAAATTACTATTTAGAGGCACTTTCTGGTGAGCAAATAGGTGATAGGAGGCAGAGGAAAGCCGAAGTAATGAGTGTGAGGAAGGTGACATCTGAGCTGAAATGAAACAGAACTACAAAATGTTTGCTAGATGCCTTGTTTATCATTTTTGTCAATATTCACTGGACTACAGTGACTAATATCACCACAGAATCCATGGTGGCTGATTTAATTTATGGAACGGTACCGATGTAAGGTTAACAGGAATGTTGATTACAGCTGCTTCCATGTGCATATCACGTAAAGTCTTCGTTATCATGAATCTGGAGAGAAATTGAAATGTAAATTCACCAGTATGTTAAAAAATAATTATAAGCAGTACAAAAGAATATTATATAATCAGACGTATTTTGAAAAAGAAAAAATACAAAGCCGTAAGTCTACTTAAAAGGCAATGGATATCTGTAATACATACAGATAATCACTACTCACCCACTTCTACCAAGCAAGAATGCTGCTGGAATTGCAGGTTCCCTGTTGGTGTTGTCATCCACCATCTCAATATATAGTTCATCATTATCAGCATTGTTGTCCATAACAATGACTGCAATAGCCCCTGACTGCTCCGCCTTTACAGCCTTGCTGACAAAGGAACAATCTCTGCAGGAAATGAAGTAAGTCTGAGGTACAGAATCATTTTCTTCTTACCTTACAGGACTAAAACTTTATAAAAGTAAAGAGAGAAAGAAGAAATCTCCAAAGAACAGAAGTGTCTCTCTCTCTCTATATAATATAAAAATATAAGTGTTGTTTAGAGAACAAGTCCTCTTTCCTATATATATGGAAATTTTGTTTTCAATAAGTTATTTTTGTATACATTTCTGCTTTAGCAATGAAAAACAAAGAAAAAATATACAATTCTTAACAATAAATAGATATTTCCCCCTCCTCCTAATATATCTCTGCCTAAAAACACCTTTGCTGACAATATACAAAATACATTTCAAGCACAAGTAAAACAGAAATTTCACATGCCTAAAGTAATGAAGATATAAATAAAAAATTCAATCTAATACCATAAAGAAACTAGATTAAAATCTAAATTCATCAGTAAATCTAACCAAGAGCAATACTAAATAAATTTCATGATAAAGATTATGGCTATGATTTAGTACTGATTTTGTTTACCCATCACTTTAAAGTAGTCTGACTCTTGTTTATCCATCCATAAAGAGTGCCAAGATTAATGCTTCCTTGCTTAGGAAAAAAAACAAAATAAATAATAATAATAATAATAATAATAATAATAATAGAAAGAAGATTGTAATAATATAATCCTAAAGAAGATTGTACTATTGTAATCCTAAAGAAAAACTCACCCTCTCGATACCAGTGCAACTGCCCCTTGCAGATCCATTGCATTATAGGGTAACGAACAGCATTCTAGTGGATCTGCTAACACAAGTCTTACGCTCTTAAGTACATGACTCTGTTTTGGAAAAAACAGTCATGTAAGATAACAGATAATGCAATAAGTTTAGATATATACAAAGAAAAAAAATATATATATATAATGTTTCACACTCCTTAACACTCACTCTCCAATGCAAACAAACATATGTACACATATAAATGCATGCATATATATATATAAACAAACAGACACAAAAAAAGCACCCATTCAAAACATTTGCCTTAATTCATATCTTATCAAATCAACTTACAAAAGACACCCCAAAGTCCTTCGCTTGCCTCAGCCGATATGTGTAGCTTAGTTCTTCAGGATAGATGATTTCAAAAAATATATCATCTTCTATAAAGTCATAAATAGTAGCTTCATTCCATATTGCATTTGAAACTGAAAGAAAGCATGAAGAAATTTTATTTTTGATGATTCGGTAATATAAATCATATAAATTCCTTTTACCTGACAGTCATTTACTTGTAAGTCATATTCATAAGTTTCTGAACTGTATCATTATGGGTACATAAAATATTGCTATATTTAACACATGCATACATACATGCATACATACATACAAATATATAAACATATACTTATATGTGTTATAAGGGGGAAGGGGGTCATGTGTGTGCATGTATACATACAAGATATACCTAAATATATAAGAGTAGCTGTTACAGGAAGGGTAGATAACCAACATAGCAAGACAACGGACAAGTAATAAACTAAACAAAGGGCATAAGTATCTTTTAACAAAAAACAATTCTCATCAAAATATTGCAGTACTTCTGTGATATCATCAAAGATTCTTCCACTTTTACTGAAACTCAATTTTGATGTGTGCCCAGGAAACTTTAGAGGTGGACATTGTCAAAAGTATTCATCATAACAATAGTTTTTTTGCTCTGGCCATTACCTTTCTAGTGGGAGGAAGGAAAGTGATATAAAATAAGGTATACAAATGTTACAGCACTGGTTGGTCATACAAAGAAAACTTTTTAAAATTTTGAAACTTGTAGACCAACTTATTCAAATAAGAGAAATGTGGCAAACTGCAGAGATAATTGAGAATTATCAATGAACATTACTACAAGGTTGACAATTTTGGTTCCTTAGGAAGGAAAGTTATTCTGATGGATAACGTGATAAGAAAATGCAGAGGATGACAGGCATACCAAAACAGAAAATGATATTAGAAACCCCTAAATGGATCATATTCACCAAATATTTCTTGTCACATATTTCCCAGTCAACGGTGATCATACTTAGAATTCCCGTCCTACAAAAGTCATAAAAAAAAGAAGCTGGATGCAAATGCTTCTGTGTCTGTTATCTATATACACAGTATCATTATCAGGATTCTTTCATCTTTCTGGTCCTATATTGTCTAAGATAGTATGTCTGTGCACATTTGGGAGCTTTTAAACTTTTTTTTCATCACTGGAATTTGTTGTCATTTGAATTTGATTTGCTTACTGCATTAATTGTAACTGAGATACAGCAGATTTCTACAGGTTTTCCATTAAACCAGAATTTTTTTTTTTTCTTTTATGGTCAAATAAGCAAAAGACAATCACCAGGTGTTTCTACCTCCATGATTCACTAATAAAAAGAGAAGGAAATAAAATTTGGAGAAAAGTTTGGCCTGTCTACAAGTTTGTTAACTTTTTTGCTGTGCATGTGAGGTGATTTAGCTGAATTAATTGTGCACTAGAGCACTACAGATGTGGATGCACATATAATTTGGCTTGTGACTAGTTTGCATTGCAAATTATTTGTGAATGTATGCATGTGATATTTTGAGTGATGCAAGACCAAACCTTTAAATCAAATTACTTTCATTGCAATGTTATTTTGTTCTAGGGCCAAAAATACTCATTTAGTAGTCTTTGCACATTTACATAGATAACAGATAACAGACAACAAATAACAACTTTAACCCACTTGCACCGGGTGTCTCACATGTGAGAAGCCCAGAAAAAAAAAAAAAAAAAAAAAAATCCCTGGCGTCTCACCAGTGCGATGCTAGATCGTAGCTCATGCTCTGATTTTGTCGCCTGTGGTGGGCGTTGGGCAGGCCAGTTCCCGGACTGGCCCACGCACCGATTTTGAAGCCACCCGAAAACTATTATTTTCGACTTCAAAATGTACCAGCGCTAGTGGGTTAAATTTTATTCATTAAAAGCTATCTTGACATGAATACTTACCCTGGGCCCAATTGAACAACTAGTTATTGAAACTTAATAATTCAAGGGAAATGTGCATGATATTGCCTTAGAGTATGACTGTGTAGCCTAGAGAGATAACCACAAGATGCACTGAGGAATCAGTAGCATAAAAAATAGTAGACATACTAAGGACAAAACAACTTATGGACCTATGTGACAACTAACATGCAAGACAGAATGGCAATTAACAACCAAGGAAAATTTAGCCTGTGTCACATTAAGGAAAACTCCCCGCAGCCATACCTTTCGAACAAAATAAATTAATCAAGCCAATGCTGCCGAGTAAATGTTGTGTTCAATTTACTTTTGTTCTGTAAAGTGTCTCAGCACATATATGGCTTTGCCAGTGCTTAGCCACAAAGGAGTCAATTAGTTGACCTTATAAGCTCACTTGATTTCACCTTTCCTTGAGTTTACAGGAAAAGCCATTATTTTTACTAAAGCTATCAATATTGATACTGTTATTTTTATTATAAACATCATAACTAAAATTTGTGGAGCTATCTATATGTAAAAACAATTACTAAATTAAACACACAGTGGGCATGGCATGTACGCACATGCCATCCCCGGCGGCATGTGGCTAAATTTAAAAATTTAGCATGCATGTGAGCTTTGATAGATGCACTATGCATGTACCTGGAGAGTCCAAGTCTTATTTAGAAAATATGTAAATGAAATCAAGAATGTGCATGCAGGTAAGAAGACAGTGCACTTGAGATCTTGCATTCAGTTGGCAAAGTTAGCAAATTGGCCTGTCTACACAAGGAGTAATTTCAACCTGTGAGCACAGGTAGAGATGACACCTGTAGCAAAGAAACAACAGGCAAACCATAGGCCACTGAAGTAAAATCCACCTGTTGAGGGCAAAAGCATACCTGCCTGTGTAAGACTGTTCTAGTAATAACAAACCACCACCTTCCTTTTGATATAATGATAAGCTTGTACCCACATTGGTGCTGACCTTGTGGACAGGGTCTTTAGGAGTTAATAAACCAGAACATGTCTACCACAACTGAAGGGTGGTGAAGATACATGTGTACACATCTACACATGTGAACACACCTGCATACACACACAGATGCATACACATGTATACCCAACACACACCAATGAAAACTAAACTACTCCCCTATTATAAATGCACATTTCACCTGGATGCTTGACTTTCTAAACCAATTCAAATAAATATAACCTAAATGCGATCCCGGTGAAGCCAGGCGTAATGCCTTGCCACAGCAGATTATATTTCATCCAGCTGTATTCCCTCCTGATCACGTTTCATTGTATAACGCCAAAGGAAGGCAGAATCCATCGTATATGTAATATGAGCATAGCCAATGACAAACCCATTATACATAATAAAAGATAAATGAATAAGAAAAGGATCCAAATTCCAAATTTCCAAAAAATCACAGTACTTCTTAAATTACACAGAACCTACACATCTCCTGCCGGACGCACTCATAAGGACAGAATCCCACGGCTAAAAACAGGCTTATTATAACGTTCTTCCACATATCCGTGGCTCTCAAAGGGTAGAAAAGGTCTTATCACATGACGCTGATAGGGTAGAACACGTCACACTTCGGCTGCTCGAGACAGACGTTTTCTTGGCGATGTA